TTTCGAGTGTTGTGAGCCGGCTCGAGGCAAAAGATTCGGGTAGACTCCCCTCTCAAACAGAGCAAAACCCGAGACAACATGTTAACGCCATCATGTTAAGGAGAGTGACGACATTGAAAGAGGTGCATAAAGAAGAAGACAAGGTTGACAAAGATGAGGTTGACCACAACAAGGAGGAGCCAACAAAAGCTAAATTTCCACCATTATCCTCATATGAACCACTACCCCCATTCCGGCATTCCCCGAAGCACTGAAGGAAATAAGGAAGCTGGAGAAAGATGCTGACATGTATGAGACTTTCGCCAAATGTGAGGTAAACATTCCGCTCCTTAACTTAATTAAAAGTGTTCCCCGTTTTGCTAAATTTTTAAAAGAATTGTGCACAATGAAAAGGAAAAGCAAATTGAAGGGAAAACAAAAGATGGAGGTTAGTGAACGTGTCTCGGGGATATTCCAAAAGAAACTTCCCGAGAAATGTAGCGATCCATGCATGTTCACTATCCCATGCAAAATAGGGGACACTTTATTTCCTAGGGCCTTATTGGATTTAGGGGCTTCAATCAATGTTATTCCATATTCATTATACAAGTCCCTAAAACTTGACCCTATGCATGATACTGGGGTAGTAATCTAATTGACAGATAGGTCTAGCACGTACCCAAGTCCGGAGGTTCCAGACTTGTATAGCATTATGCAACACAGCAGTCCACCCACGAACCAGGAATAGGGTCCACGCGTTATAGTCGTAGCAGCAGCAGTATTTTCTGTCTGAACAAATAGATTAATTGAGAAAACCACGAGCGGCATATGCCTTATAGGCCACTCTATTTACTCCCATGCACAGACCGGAGAGTTAACCCGAACGCCACCTCAGCTGGAAAGAGTAGCCGCCGGTTGCCAGCTGACTCCCACCCTTTTAAAGAAATAACATGAGCGTCCATCTCAAACGCACGGTACCATCTCAGACCGATGATCAGCTCCTGCTACCGTTGGGCCCTCAGGATCAGTCTTGGACGTTCGTAAAAGACTAACCGCCCAGTCGTGGAGCCACCGAACAAGCTCCTAAACGATGATGATCAGTTCCGCTCGGCTGAGGTCCACGCACCGCTCAGCCAATTGCACTCGGGGCACCAACCCAACTTACCATCGGTTGAAACGGGTACCATCTTCTCGGTGAATATGGTCGTCGGACGATCTGCTGCTCAGTTGCACGACACCCTCTTCCAGAGTTTAGCTTGCAGACGGACTGTCTGTGAGAATAATGGAACAGGATGCTCTCTAAGGAGCCCTGGCAGATATATTTATAATAAAAGAGTTTAATGTAAAGTACAATACTAATGGTTTAATAATTCTATTACTGTCTTCCCCTGTAACACCATAGAGACCGTCACTCGGCACTCCTCAGAACATCGCCGTTGTGTGCCGCCCGGTTTAAACCGCACCGTCTCATGGTTTAAGACAAATCTGAAACTATATAAATATATATATGCCTGAGACAGCTTTTGTGAGCAAGTACTCGTTTTTATATATTGAAACTGAGCAAACATGATTAATCCGTGCAGTAACTTTTCATGCTATGCCTTACAAAATATATTGAAGAGGAAAAAAAACTAACTAACAAAAGTGATGGGCTACCAAATAGGATCTACTCCTCCATTATGTTGCTAGTTATTTTGCTAGTTTTATGAATGAAAAGTTTTTAAAATATTATTCACATATTCCGCATATTTATGGTATTGCATTTGTTCTCGATCTTCGTTTTAAACATGGTTCTTTAGAAGAATGTTTGAATTATTATTATGTTGCTTTTTTTGGTCGAATGCCAATGTATGAGGACAACCCAATTGATCCGAAAAAAGAATACAACGAGATTAGTGATATATTTTATGCATTATTTAATGAGTTTCATGCACAATATGGCAACCCGCCCCCTCCCCCGACACAAACATCTTCATCTAAAGGAAAATCAATTTTGAAATCTACATTTGCCAATCTTATTAAAAAAATGAAATCAACTCCCACTACTCAACAAAGCACAATTAATGAGATTTCTTTGTATTTAACATATGATGTTGATTTTGAAGAAGATTATGATTTTGACGTTCTAAACTGGAGGAAGGGAAAAGAATGAATGTTCCCGATTTTAGCAAAGATGGCTAAGCAAGTGCTATCAATGCCGGTTTCAACTGTTGCCATGGAACAAGAATTTAGTTCGACCGGCAGTGTCCTAACGCAATGTAGAACGAGGTTGAGCGCAGAATCTCTTGAGATGCTTATATGCTACCACGATTGGTTGAAGATGGCCCGTAGAGCTAAGGGTGGATTCGGTTCAGGCCACCCGGCCCGTGACCCGGCCCGGCCCGGTACTGTACGGGCCCGGGACCGGCCTGGTCGGGCGGTCCGGGACCGAGTGTGGACCCGAACCGGTGGGAATGGGCGGGGCGGGGCACGGTGCCGGATAAATGTGACCCGGCCCGGCCGGGTCGGGCCTAGGCCCGAGTCCGGGCGGTCTGATTTAAAAAAAATGAATTGGGCTACTAGCCGTTGGGGGTGGGGTGGGGACAACCCAAACGGCTATATAGCCGTTGGGTGGGGTGCAGGGGGGTCCGGGGGGTTGGGTGTTGGGGGGTGGTGGGGGTGGGGGGTAAAAAAACCTATAAATACTCCTAATCTTAAACATTTTTTCATATCTCTTCTCCAATTCTTCCTAAATCCTATTCTTAACTCTCTACTCTCTAATTCTCTTATTCTCCAATATATTATATTTATTATTTATATATCTACTTTATAGTTTATACTTAAGAAGTTAAGATGGAAAATCAAGATGCCATTATACGGTATAATTTTGATAAGCAGAAGGACCCGAAGACCGGGATGTGGTACGCAATTTGCAAATGGTGCGAGAAAAAATGTAGCATGGGGGTTTCAGGCGGATACGGGATGGCAATCAAGCATATGAAGTCATGTGACAAAGCCAAAGGATCGGGAGGTGCATGAAATTCCGATTGATTACAATTTTCAAAATGTTTATCTCTTAAAGTTTGTTTTAATTTTCAAATGTAGTTCCTATTTCATTTCAAATAAATGCACTTGAAGTTTTTTTTTAATACTCGTATAAAACTATAAACTATAAAATATAAATTATAAAAAAAAATTAACCGGCCCAGCCCGAACCGGACCCGACCCGTGACCCGGGCGGGTGGCCCGGCCCGAACCGGACCCGTCCAACCCTCAGGCCGGTCCCGGGCCCATGTCATACAAACCGGCGGTCCGACCGGGCCTAGGCCCGAGTCCATCAATACGTAGAGCTCAAGAAATTGACATCATCCCATCCCAAAACTTTATGGATGAATCTACAACCGAGGATGGCTCTACCTATATCGAAGATTCCGATTGATTAGTATTTCATATTTTAATTTTACCTTCAATTCTAAATTGTAACTTGTAAATAGGGATGGACCCGGGCCGGTCCGGTTCCGGGCCGGGCCCAGGCGGGCTTTTTTTGCAAATCCTTGGGCCCGGATCCGGTCCGGGTTGATACCGGGTCCGGGCCTAACCGGGCCGGTCCGGGCCAAGTTCAATGTCTATTTGTTTTTGTTTTTTTTTTTTGCTTTCTTGTTATCCCCCGACCCCCCCCCCCCCTCACCCCCCACCCCCAAACCTCCCCAAAACACCCAGGCCTACCCTAGGAAAAGAAAAAAAATTGTAAAAATAAATTGACCTAGGCCCGGGCCGATTCACCCAAAACTAGGCCCGAGCCCGGCCCGCCCGGCACGCCCAACCAGCCCAAACAGGCTAAAAGCCCAAAACCGGCCAACCGGTCCCAGTCCACTCCGGGCCCGCACAGTAGTGGGCCGGGCCGGTTCCAAGACGGGCCGGGTCGGTTCCAGGCCGGGCCGGCCCGATTCCAACCCGAGCCAGCCCGATTTAGTCCATCCCTACTTGTAAACTTGTTGTTCATATTGCAAATAAATATATGTTCATTTTTTATATGTAACACTTCTCAAATTAAGTAATTTTACAATATGTAAATTCATATTGTATTTTTTTCTTAATTGTCAAATGTAGTTCCTATTTCATTTCAAATAAATGCACTTGAAGTTTGTTTTTAATACTTGTATAAAACTATAAAGTATAAATTAAAAAAAATGGATTTAACCGACCTGGCCCGGCTGGTGGCCGGACATGTGACCCGGGCGGGTGGCCCAGCCCGAACCGGAACCGTCCAGACCTCGGGCCAGTCACGGGCCCATCACTTACAAACGGGCAGTCCGGCCGAGCCTAGGCCCGGCCCGAGTCCATGCCTACTTTTCTTTGGGCAAGGTTGGGTGTTTGGGGGGGGTGGGGGTGAACTGGTGAAGGGGGGAGGTCGGGGATTAATTATTTAATTAGAAAGCCAAAAAATCACATTGAACCGGGCCCGGTATCAACCCGGGCCGGTTCCGGGTCCGATCCATGCCTAATCTGACCATCGCCATTTGTCGATATAAAATTCTTTTTTGAGCATCTTCTATATTAAGTCTTGTTTACCCATACCAAATTTCAGATAAAAATTCAATTGGGAAGCCAGTCAAATGATTTTCGAAAATGTACTGCATTGTTTAACTACACAGTTATTTTCAAAAATTCATTTGACTGGCTTCCCGGTTGAATTTTAAGCTGAAATTTGTTACAAGTAAACTAGACTTAATGAAGAAGATGTCAACCCAAATGACAACGGCCAGACACAGCACCCTATATAAGGGATGATTTGCACTTTTAAATTTAGTTTGAGGGTCTATTGGAATCGAAACCAGGACCGCTCAATCCCATCCCAAAATATACATAATGGTTACCCTCGTACACCCGGTCGTGTACCCGGTATTTACCCGGGACCAAAAAAATGGACCCTATTCTGATCTGAACAGTACCAAACCCGGTTCGTACCGTTCCAAGATCAGAACTATGGCCACCTGTAGCCATCATTTTCAGATCATTTGAAGGGGGGCTTAAAATCTAGTAGGAATCAAACGTACAGTATTAGTAACTTTGCTCTTTTGAATTCCAACACAACGAAATTTACCAGTTCTGATTTTCTTTTGGGGGGGAGGGGGGCTGGAGCCTGGAAGCCTGGAACTACAGTGAACAATACACAACATTAGGGATCCGTTAGTAGCCTGCGAAGTTTCTAAGTTTCTAACTGGCATTAATTAACTGAAATACAGTAACCATTTACAAAAGAGATCAATGCCAAACGCAAAAATGAAAGGCCCCCCTCCCCTGCACCCGATCTAAATCCCCTCACTACACACTACAGACACACACACACATCTGTGCGAGCGTGTTATCCTACTTCCCCTTTGGTCTTTTCCAATAACTTCAACTCGAGCAGCAATCGACCGTACATCTTCTGTGTTTCTCTTAAATGCTTCCTTAGCAGATTTACCTGCAAGAATACAAAATTGTTCACCGCTTCTTTATCGAATAAAACTACTTACTTTGACCGATGAAATGAACATAAAACAAATGCCATCCGCTCACCTTGGCATTAAGCTCTTCCACATTTTTCTCATGATGCAAACACCTGTATTATTTATTAACAGTAGAATCACATTTCACATCCAATCTCTTCAAGAAGAGTAGAGTTCTGGACTTGGCATTATGCCAAAAACATATTTATAGGAAGGGTTTTCCCCTTTTAAGTATTTTTTTCAACCTGGTATTTTCATAAATAAGAACAAGACCTCCCTTCTTACAATTAGAAACACTTTCATTTTCTTTTCCTATGATGAAAAGTAGTTATTTTTTCAATTAACAATTTTATGTATTTTTTTCATATCCTTGCCAAACGCTACTCTTTGAAATATAAGTATTTTTCTTTTTAGGAAAAACACTTATTGCATGGTGCAGTAGTATATCAAACACCGCTAGAAGAGGTCAAGGTTAATCCACATTGATGAGCTTTCAGGATGAATGAGTTTGCCTCTGACAGTCGGATCGAATTAACTGATATGGACTTACTGAGCACGTAGTTTTTTGTTTTCAGCCTCTTCACTTCCCAAGTAACTAGCACCACCAGCAGGCAGTTGCTACAGAAAAAATTGATGCGAAATTAATAATGCTATATAAATATATGGAAATAACAAATGTGTCAAGAACATTGAAAATAGGAAAAATAAATAACTAGAAATAAGATGAAGGCTCCAGGCTCCTATAAAATGATCTGTTGTACACAGCCACCCCTTTTGGGGGGTCAGCAAACCAAGGTGATTAATAACATGAAATATCACTCGGGCTTCATAATTTCAAAACCAATCTCTACTACAAACCAATTTTTCATCAATTGCAAAGGAGCCAAAAACTCACTATTTTTTGGCTTGGGAATATGAAGGAATAAAGCAAAATGGTTCACTAAATTGTCTGCGCTTCTTTGTTGTTAAGCAGCAGTCAGTCCATGCAACTTTCGACGTGATTTTCACTATGGGTCATCCGGAAACAGTCTCTTTGTGCTATAGTACAGGGGTAAGACTGCGTACATCCGACCCCCCTTACCCCACCTACTGGGGTAATGATTTTGCGGCACTGGGGTAATGATGATGATGATATCCCTCTATATTTCAAAAGTTTGATTTAAATATTTTTTATGAATAATTGTACAAGCATGATTAGACAACACACTTATAGAAAAGGGAATAAATGTGCAGACTTCTTAAGAACACGGCATTCAAGCATCTAAGGGTTAACTATTTTTCAAGAGGCTCCTAACTGGATTAAACACATGCTCTGGGAGGATGAGAATGGGGTGGAAACCATCTCATTTTAATTATTTTGTTGGCTTTTTCTGTTCCGATGCATCCAGAAAAATCGCAAATATGCTCTATATTTTTCTATATAGTGTAGTATCCACGTTCCTAGTTTATATTTGCTACCTAAATAGAAGTGCTAGATGACTATGTGTGGCTTCTGAACATGATCATCTATTTTAACAAAGGTACAGTAGAGAAGATACATGCTGTTGCAGTTTGACTGTGGTTGGCATTAGTCAATAATCAATATTGATGCTTACCCTGGCCTCCTTTTGCTTCACATTTTCAGCTTCATTTGGGTGATTGCGGTCTTTCCTTTTAGTAGGTATTAGTGGCACTGGTAAGAAAGATTGAAAAACATACCAAAAGAGCTCAGCAAGCTTACAATACAATTTCCCTAGCATAAGAAGTATGACCTCCAAAAGAGCTCAGGAAGCTTACAATACAACTTTTCAGTTCTGGTAAGGCAGAAACGTCTTAAATCATGAATCATAGATACCTTTTTTTCAAATTTATTTGTTGGTTTAACGGTCAGTCCATGCAATTTTTGACGCGATTTTCACTATGGGTCATCCGGAAACAGTCTCTCTGTGCTTTAGTACAGGGGTAAGACTGTACATCCGACCCCCCCCCCTTACCCCACCGTAGGTGGGAGTCTTTGCGGCAGTGGGGTAATGATAATGATGATGATGATGATTTGTTGGTTTAATTAAACTTATGAGTTATGACAAGTAACTCTAATGTAACTAATATTTATGGCAAACCCCAAAAAAATTATAGCTTCATTTGGTGAGTCTGGCTCTTTATTTTGGCAAAAAGAGCATTTGATATAGGACGTTTCTTTGCGATGAAAGGAGTACATAATAAGATTAAACATATCAAGGGAACTTGTTTAAATTCATTCACACCTTGTTGAAAGTTATGATGAAAAGTTCTTGGCAGATTGTCAAGCCTTGATGACACTTTTGTACCAGCTACACTAGAAGAGTTTTTAGTCATTGACACGGCCTGATATGTACCATGCTTCTGACGAAATTCAGGTGTAACCTGGGGCGGCTTTGGTGCTTGAATTTTCTTCTTTGGTCTCATGTAACCAATAAGTCCACAATGATAATCCCTATTGTAAGCAAAAGTACTATCAATAAGTCAAGAATGGGGGATATAAAAGGCATTAGACTAAAGAGCAAATAAATGTAATTTAGATAAATTTGCAATTTGAAATATTTTAATATTGAAAGATATATTCACCAGTACTCTAACGTCATTTCCCTCAATCGTGCTTCAAGCTTTTGAAAAAGGGGAGTTTTCTCGAAGTCTTGTTTATTATGTGTTGGCTGAATAAAGTTGGCCTCCAGAACACCTGAAGGACACTAAAATTCTTTAGAGCCTGACTTTTTTTAAGTTTGAATACAGACCCATTCAAATATTTGGAAAAGAACTGCTTGAAGGCTACATACCCACAACCCCTCTGCCTCTACTGTCAGAATAGCTGACAACATGCCAAAATGGCTTCAAAAAAGAGCAAAGAGAAAAAAGCTGCATTAAGATCACTTTTTCAGAAAAAGGCTACATTAAGATAATCAATTAGAAATTAAGACACGGAGCTCAATTGCAAAAACAAAAGAAAACCTAAAACGTATAAGTTTGTCCTATTTCCGAATAAAAGGTTTGAAATTTTGAATGAAGTAGAAGTAAACACTCCCCTAATAATATTAAAAATAAAAATTTACATACTTATAACTTATAAGCTACACTAAAAATTCTATTGAACTGACCACATGTATACTGAAATAAAAAGGAAGTACGCTGACCACATGTATACTGAAATAACAAAAAATATAGGGATGCATGGAGTGTAAGAGTTGAAAACCTGCAGATAGAAAAGTTGTAACTGATAGTGTGTTGTTGGTAATCAACAATGAAATCCATAGAACTCATTATGGAAGACCATGTTTATAGGTAACTGTTATGGATGCATTCCGGGGCAAACAATAAAGCAGGAGACAAGGCCAAGAAAAAGCCCAGAATATTGCAGATTCATACACAGATATTGGGCCCAAATATGCTAAAAAACAATGTGGCTAAAAGAAAACATAAGTTGTAGGAATAATTAATCTGGAATCTTAAGTGTTGCAAAATGATTAGGAAACTATTACGTATTAGTTAGTTATGGAATCTTAATGGAATCTTAATGTCTACCTTATTTATCTTGACCAAACAACCAACACAGCTACATTCGCTGTGTGCACCACCACTACTCAATATAATTATCAATAGTCGCAAGTATCTATACTTTCTTATAAACAATATTACAAAATCTATTAGATTCTAAATATGTTACATTACTTACATAGATATACACACATTACTTTCTTTGTTACTCCCAGTGTCCCATTACCTTTGTCCCATCTTTCATTTTTTGTCTGTCCCTCTCAGTTTGTACCACACCAAATATTTGTGGTTTTAAATCATTCTTAGTTTCTTACTTTATTCATATTTCATCAATTCAATACCAACCACATGACTCTACCTTTCTTAATAATTACACCATATCCTTATTTTGAAACGTTTTATCCTACTTCTACCATTACAGTCACAGTTGTTACAGCGTCGCCTTGGCGGCGCCTTGGCACCAACTAGTTGTCCTGGCGGTGGAGAAGTGATGCCGCGCTCAACCGACTTGCCTGAAGCTGTCAGGCGTAACTTGGAGTTGATTAGGCGTCTGGAAGTTGTCATGGCGACGCTCAGGTCCAGTCTTTGCCGGCCGACCCGTCGGCTAGAACCCTAGGCCCCTGGGTTATCTACTCGGCGACTACTCGCAACTCGGGTACTGACCTTGTTGAGTAGCTACCTAACTCAGTCCGTGTTTTATTTCCGAGTTACTCGCCGAGTACTCGGCGAGTTTCTCAACTCGGTAAAGTTTTCAACTCGGCGAGTTACTCGGTCTAACTCGCCCCCCCCCCCTTAAAAAATTGAAAAATTAAGTTACAAAACCTAGGTTAAACGGAATTTTTTACATCTACTATCCCCCTAGAGCTGTGACTACAATTTCTCAATAAGTTGTCATCTTACGAAATTATTAGATGATTGATTTTCTTGAAAACTTAGAATGTTTATGACTTTTGCTACTCCATCATTAGCATTTCTATCATTTTATTCATTTCTATGCATTTTAAGATAATTTTAAGACTACTATATTTTTATAATCTCTGACACTTATGTTATTAAATTTAATTAATACAAGGCCGAGTAATCACCGAGTAATCCCGAGTAATCGGTCCTTGATCGAGTTACTACCGAGTAGCGAGTTAACTACCTAGCTAGGCCCTGCAACCCGTTGTCCATGTCGACATCGCAGGTCGCCACCTCTGGTCGACGCCGCCGGTCCAGCACCATCTTCTCTCTCGTTCCCGTTTTTTAAAGTCACTGCCGCCTATTGCTCTATCCCACTTTATTTGGCTGGACTTATCTTTTAATCTTTAGCCCATGTCATACGGAGCAAGGGTTTCTTACTGTACACTATCTATATACAGCTGGAGTCTGTCTAATAATTCATTCCATCCCTTTGAATAAATATCTGCTACACTTGCATAGTTGCATTATTGTACAAATTATTACCTTCGTGAAGATTTATATTGAAACACTTGTTGTAGATGAATTATTAAATTGTCAGATATTTTCTCATCTATTTTATCCTTTTACTTTGCTTCATATTTTTAATTGTTAAAATTGTTAATTTAATTTGTAATTATAATAATATTACATATAAAGCAACTTGCCGCCTAGCTGCCGTGACAACTATGATTACATTACATAAATACCCTTTCTTCCTCAACTCTTTATTTCTTACTTTTTCATCATCTCTCTCCTACTACTCACTACCCCTACTATTTCCATCTTATTTACTATGAAAACCCTACAGGGACAACAAATAAATAATGGAGGGAGTATATACAAAATAATTAAGTTGCAAGCAGAGGACCCCTAGAATGATCGCAAAAAACAAATTAAATCTCACTATACCTTCATAAGAAGGTTATAAAAGAGAGAGAGCATCCCTCTAAAAAAATTGCAGCTGCGCGTTCTTGCATCAGTTCATATTATGAACTAATTTTAATTTTAACTTATTTTTGACAATTAAGTAATACTCCCTCCGTCCCAAAAAGATTGGCCAAATTTCCTTTTTTGGCCGTCCCAAAAAGGTTTGCCACTTTCTATTTTAGGCTAACACATGAATAGGAAAATACATGTTTACCCTTCACCCACTTATTCCCACCCGGCACTCAACTCATCTCTCCTCTCGATCTCCCTCTGAAATTTTTCATGAAACGTAATGAGATGAAATCAAAATCAGAGAATATTTCCATGGAATCAAAATCATAAACAACCGCCTCGCCGGACCATTTCCTTTCCAAGGACCTTGAGACGTTATCAGAATCGGAGGAGGTTGCTCACTCAGATCCCTTCGTCTCCATCATCCATGAAAGCCTATTGATACAAGCATCGGTCTTGGAGGACGGAGATGGGATCTTGGAAGGTGAAAATCTCCGTGAAGGAGGACCAGATACGGCGGAACTAGCAGCGAACAAGGATGGTCAGGAAGATGAATTTTGGGCTGATTTTGTCTCCAGATCTGCCTCTTGGATGAGCTACGTCTAGTTGTACTGTTCATTTAGACTGTTTAATGTTGGTTCTGTGGACATTTCGGTTCCGTCATTTTAAGGGGCACTTTTGTCCAGTCAACTCCTTTTACTGTTTACCTTATTTGTAGTGCCGGTCAACATTGGCCAACGATTTTGGGACGGAGGGAGTACTACGTACTATAAATTTCATGTCACCGACCCCAATAAGATTCGGATTGAGGTGATCGTGATGATGGAAAATTGGCTAAATTACTACGAAGAATATAAATAGTACCAAAATGAAATATTCTTTAGTAAAGCAAAGATGCTCACCAGTATTAAACGGTTTTTGTGGTAGACGTTGAAACCGTGATGGTTCACCAATGGGGCCTCTTTTAGGAACCCAATTGTCGTAATGATTTCACCCTACAAAAGGATGTATCACCATTAAACTTGCAGGTTAGAAACTTCCCAAAGAAGTGTTTGGAAAGGATTAGCTGTGTATGGCAAGTTGTATGCTCCTGATTTATATAGCAGAGATTCTAATCATTCTATAAACCGAAAATCATTCACTGCATATGAACAACAAGATTGATTTTTGCAAATTTGGTGGTAGCCCTAGCTCATTATGTTGGTATGTCATATTCCAATACAGACAGATACCTCTCTGATAAGAACAGTTCGCCATCCACAATAGACAGAACGAACTGGAAACAATCTCCAAGCTTCATTAATGGCGGTATACAGTACAATAGTTCCCAAGCTAGAGCTAGAACTCTAACTTCCCAGTACCAAGCCAAGCATCTAACAGCCTGCCTAACTCCTAGCTGGTTTATTCTATTTATAGTCCCCCTCGCTACCGCCTTAAGCAGTTATTATAACAAAACAACTAACTGCTAATAACTACTTAACTACTTCTTCTTTCTAGAATAGACTAAGCCATATCTATTCTTATTAGTCATAGTAGCCGGGGTCCTATCATTACTCCCCTCCTGAAAAACCAGCTTGTCCTCAAGCTTGAAGTCTGGAAACTGTGTCTTCAACACTTGGGCATCTTCCCAAGACCTTTCAAATTCTGGCAGATCTTTCCACTGTATCAAAACTTCAGTGCTGCCATCAGTTCCCTTCCTTGTATCCATCACCTTCTCTGGAGTCACCAGCAATTCCCAGTTCTCATTCAAACACTTGGGCAATTGTTGACATGAAGTATTGGGAGCTAGAGCTTTCTTGAGTAAAGAAATATGGAATACTGGATGTATCAAGCATTGATCTGGCAATTTCAATTTAAAAGCTACATCATTCAACTTCTCAATGATCTCAAAGGGTCCATAAAACCTTGGACTCAATTTCTGATTAATTCTCTTAGCCAAACTCTGCAGTTTATAAGGCTGAATTTTCAGAAAAAACTTTTCACCCACCTCCAACTTCACCTCTCTCCTGTGCTTGTCAGCTTGCTGCTTCATCTTTTTCTGGGCAATAACCAAATTTTCCTTGATTTCTGCTAACATTCCATTCCTCTCAGCTGTCAACCTTGACACTTCATCAATAGCAGTAATAACCACATCTCCTTTGACAATTGGTTGAGGTTCTTGGCCATATAAAGCCTGGTAAGGAGTTTGTTTCAAGGAAATATGGTAATTGGTGTTATACCAGTACTCTGCCCAAGGTAGCCATTTGGTCCATTCCTTAGGTTTCTTCCCTGTAAGACATCTCAAATAGGTCTCTAAGCACCTATTAACAACCTCAGTCTGTCCATCAGATTGAGGATGGTATGCAGTACTGTATCTCAATTGTGTGCAAGCCAGTATAAATAGTTCTGCCCAAAAAGAACTCAAGAAGATGCTGTCTCTGTCACTCACTATGGTCTTTGGAAATCCATAGAGTCTAACCACTTCTTTGATAAACACTTCAGCTACTCCTTTAGCATTATAAGGATGAGACAAGGCTATAAAGTGTGCAAATTTTGTTAATCTGTCAACCACCACCAGAATAGTGTCTTTTCCCTGAGCTTTTGGCAGTCCACCAATAAAATCCGTGCTTATATCAGTCCAAATGCAATCTGGGATAGGTAATGGTTGTAACAACCCTGCAGGTTTCAAGGCTTGATACTTGTTTCTTTGACAAACTTCACAATTCTGTACATATTGGTGTATCTCCTTCCTCATCCCACCCAATAGAACAGTGTTGAGATCCTCTTCATAGTTCTGAAATTACCAGAATGTCCTCCTGTTGCAGAATCATGATATTCCAAAAGAATTCTTTTCACTCTGGGAGAATTCTGGGGTATCATCAGTCTTCCTTTATAATATATCAACCCCTTCTTCAATCTGAAATCAGCCATCTGAACTGGATGACTGAGAATCTTCTGAATGATATCAGCACATTTAGGATCTTCCAGTAGCTCATCTTCTAATCCCTCCCATTCTTGACAAATTACAATTGATAAGGCTGAAAAAGTTGACTTCCTTGAAAGAGCATCAGCCGCTTTATTCTCACATCCAGGTTTATACTTAATGATAAAATTGTATCCCATTATCTTGGCTATCCATTTTTGTTGATCTTCCCCCATGATTTTCTGCTCAGTCAGATATTTGAGGCTTCTTTGATCTGTATGAACCTCAAATTTTCTGCCCAGTAAATATGGTCTCCACTTCTGTATAGCAAACACAATTGCCATCAACTCTTTTTCATAAACTGATTTACTCAAATGTTTGGGAGCTAGTTCTTTGCTCAAGAAAGCAATGGGACCTCCCTCTTGCATCAGAACTGCCCCTAACCCTCCTTCCAGAAGCATCAGTTTGTACTACAAAAACTTTATTGAAATCAGGGATTCTTAGAACTGGTAAAGAAGACATAGCACCTTTTAACTCAGCAAAAGCTTTGGTAGCCATCTCATTCCATTTAAACCCATCCTTCTTCAGCAATTGTGTTAATGGAGCAGCAATGTGACTATAGCCTTTGACAAATCTCCAGTCAGACCCAAAAAAACCCTCAACTCCTTTAGATCTTTTGGTACAGCCCACTCCATCATGGCCTTAGTTTTGCTAGGATCTGCTGCCACCCCTTCTGCTGAGATAATATGACCCAAATAACTCAGTTGTTCTTGGCCAAAAGAACATTTCTTCTGATTTGCAACCAAATCATCCCTCTTCAAGGCATCCAGTACTAATTTTAGGTGTTCCTTATGATCTTCCTTGGTTTTGCTGTACACCAGTATATCATCAAAGAACACCAAGGCAAATTTCCTGAGGTAAGGTCTCAAAACTTCATTCATAAGAGCCTGGAAAGTTGAAGGTGCATTAGTCAACCCAAATGGCATGACTAGGTACTCGTAATGACCCTCATGTGTCCTGAAAGCAGTCTTACAGGTGTCACTTTCCTTCATTGTAATTTGATGGTAGCCAGATTTCAAGTCCAACTTAGAGAATATCCTTGCTCCTCCCAACTCATCAAGCAGTTCTTCTATAATTGGTATGGGAAATTTATCCGGTATTATGATCTTATACAAAGCTCTATAATCACCACAAAACCTCCAACCCCCATCTTTTTTTCTGGCCAATAAGATAGGACTGTTGTAGGGACTATTACTGTGCTTAATGATACCAGCAGTTAACATTTCACCAATGATTTTCTCTATCTCATTCTTCTGATCAAAAGTATACCTGTAGGGCCTCAGATTTGGTATACTAGCTCCTTCTTGGATGTTTATGGCATGGTCACAATCCCTGGCAGGAGGAAACTTCAACTGATTGGTGAACACTTCTGGAAATTCAGCAATGATGTCTTCCCATACCTATGCTTCATTAGTCTTCTGCTCCAAACCCCACAGCTGCCCTTCATAATACAGAAAATATCCCTCCCCTTCTTTCTGTAGAATATGTAGCATTGTTTTCACTGGTACCTCCAAATTATTCAGTGCTGCTTCTCCTTGGATACAATTTACCCTTCCTTGTTGCTTCCACCTTATCACTTGCTTCTGAAAATTCACTTCCATATTACCCAGCTCAGTTAGCCACTCCATACCCAACACAATATCTGTACCACCCAACTCCAGAATATAGTATGATTGTTGTATAGTATTGCCTTGCACTTCCAGCTTCATTCCATCACACCTGCCACTATTATGGATGAAATCCCCATTGCCAATTTGTATTTTAAATCCCTGCATAGGCATAAAAGGTACCTTCCACCTATCAATGAAACCTTGTGCTATGAAATTGTGTGTGGCTCCACTATCAATCAGAATGTTCACAGGTTGTTTCCCTTCAATCCAATTCAATACCCCTTGCACCTTGAATGTTCTCATTGATGGAATACCCTCCTTACTTAAAACAGAAAGTTGCATGGTTTTAAGTTGTTTAGAAGTGTCTTCCTCTTCTTCAGATTCCAGTAATTCCCCTTCAGATTCCTCTTCTCCTTCAGACTGTTCTACTAGAATCAGCTTATAGTTCTTCATCTTACAGATATGACCTTTGCTCCAGTCCTCTCCACATTTGAAACACAAACCTCTCCTACTCCTTTCTTGTAGCTCACTCCTGGATAATCTTGGACCAGATTTACTCATATTAGGTGCCTTAACTTCAGTGTTGCTTCTGTAATCAGAATTACTCTTTGGCAAGTTGGGATTACTTTTCCATCTGCTTCCATCACCCCAAAGTGTTTGAGAATATGAACTATTGCTCTTACTTAGCCCCTTTTTCTTTCATTCCTCTTTGTTCTTCATCAACATAGCTTCATTATTTTTGTTCTCAATAAGTGAAGCTTGATCCATAACCTCAGCTAATGTTCTGGTAGTATACAACTTCAGTTCAGCCCTGATATCCCTTCTCAGTCCCTTGAGGAAAACACCTTTCAGAACCTCCTCAGTTAGATGTCCCTGGGAAGCTATGGCAGTTTCAAACTTATCCCTGTACTCCTTCATAGTTCCTCTCTGCTTTAAACTGAACAAAGGTCCTAACGGATCTTGTACCAGTTCTGGTTGAAAGCGTTTAGTCAAATCCTTCGTAAAAGTCTCCCAGTTCATATGGCGAGCCTGTCCTTCCCACCACTGGAACTAACTCAGAGCCTGATCCTCCATTGCCAGAACGGCCGTGTCCACCTTGTCTCTCTCATCAGTCTGATTCAATCTGAAGTAGCGATTCATCCTCACCAACCAACCAAAAGCATCCTCTCCGTTGAAACAGGCAAATCAATTTTCCGTCCAACTTGATTTGGATTTCGTTGTCGCCTATGATGATTGAGATCCTGATGCAAGGCAAAGTGATCGGAATTTGTCCCTCTGAATCTTCCGAACTATCATCCTGCTTCGTGTGTCTCCCCTGAGCCGATCGACGTGAAGTATTCGACTGGTGCGAACGACTCCATGATCTCTCAGCGGTCCTGTTCTGCATTTCCGTTAAACTAGCATTGTCATCAATGCAGTCGTAAAATTTGCCTGCATCTCACGCAAATTTCTCTCCATTTCCGTCATCCTGCTTTCCATCTTCGCTCGCGTCACGGTCATCCAGCGATCAAACGCGCTCTGATACCAATGATAAGAACAGTTCGCAATCCACAATATACAGAACAAACTGGAAACAATCTCCAAGCTTCATTAATGGCGGTATACAGTACAATAGTTCCCAAGCTAGAGCTAGAACTCTAACTTCCCAGTCCCATGCCAAGCATCTAACAGCCTGCCTAACTCCTAGCTGGTTTATTCTATTTATAGTCCCCCTCGCTACCACCTTAAGCAGCTATTATAACAAAACAACTAAATGCTAATAACTACTTAACTACTTCTTCTTTCTAGAATAGACTAAGCCATATCTATTCTTATTAGTCATAGTAGCCGGGGTCCTATCACTCTCAGAATAGTCATAATGAATGAGTTACTATCAATAGTATTAATGTGTTCTTTGTAGTTATTTTACTCCAGCACACCTGATGGTGGTGGCAAATTTCCATGTGCCAGGCTTTTCAATCCCTCAATTTCAACACCAACGTAATGGTATACAACAACATCCAAGCCTTAGTTCAGCTAACATGAATCAACATACGACATACCAATGTAATAGCATATCAAATATAAAACAGAGCAAGTCCCTACCTCACAAACTCCACCACTTGATGGTTTATACAAGATACATTGCCGATATTTGAGTTCACTAGCAATATTATGATACTCAACTAAGCTCCCACGTAACACAATACAAAAGTTTTCAGGAACTCGCAAGTACAAAATGGATAGGTATGCCTGTTCATCATGTAATAAATAAAATTAGGTACCAACGGTTCTTGCACAGGCCATAGAGTATGGTTGCATGGCACTAAACATGCTTACACGCATTGAAAAACGGAGACGGTTGGCAAGATGTTCATCATTTAAAGATGCACGAGGACCCTTCTCCATATTGCTTGTATAATTACAAATACGAATGTCCTGCAAAGAATGCAACAAAGAAGTAACACAACACAAAACAACTTTGGGGAGAAGGTGCATATTAACCACTAAGGTTTGAGCCAAGGAGCTAATTGGACACTTCAATAACTTTAGGAGCAAAATAACCCCAATTTAACATTTTTTAGGGCATATTACCCACCCAACTCCGACTCCCGTTAGTTTTACTTCCTTTCGCCGTCTACTCCTGCCTGTTTTACTTCCTTTCGCTGTCTACTCCTGCCTTCCACCGCCTTAGCTTCATCTGTATTTTCTTAAAGATTGTCCTTTGCCAAGTTCCTTAACTATATGGGTGGGTGGTACCCCACCACCTCATTTAATTCTAATGTGTAAAGGAAACAAAACACATAAATACACTTGCTATCATTTATTTTTTTATTTTTATACCCTACACTGAATTCTTTTTTCCTTTTACTAAATCTTATCCTCTATTCTATAATAATTGCAACAATTTGATTTTTACGTTTGCGAACCACAACGTTGAGTGTAATTATATTTAGAGCCTATTTGGTAACACTGAAATTGGCTGAATCGGCTGATTCTGCTGAAATTTATGAAGTTCTGGATGAAGTGGCTGTATTGGCTTGTTCTGCTGATTTATTAAAAAAAAGTTAAAATACTTTTCATTAATAAAATAAAGAAAAATACATATGCAAACATAGCTAAAATGGTCCTCTACAGTAACTTTACCCAATGCAGCCAGAAAAGTAACTCCAACCATACTTATTTTGATTATTACACTATTCAGCGCGCGGAATCAAAAGATACGTGTTTGGTTAAAAAGTTGGCTAACAAGACTGATAAGCCGAAAAACAGGGTTACCAAACGGGCTCTTAATTACATATTATTAGTAAAACATATAAAAGTTAATATTTTGGAAATTAACATTAATAAAAATTTAATAACATTTTAGACATAATAGTTAGATTATATATTAGTAGAAAATCGTTGTCAGAGTAATGTGTGTGAATGGTGCAAAAATCACAATGCTGCAACTATTAAAAAAGAGGAAATAATAATTACATTCTGATATGATCTGAATCTCTTTGACCAGATCTGATTTGAATATTTCTGATCTGATTTGATTTGAATAAAATAAGAATAAACAATAAACAATAAGATATGGATGAACACAACAACACCTTAATTAACAACTGAGTAAGTAGAACTCTATAATATTATCTTGATTTACCTTTGCCACTTATGTACTAATTATTTTATAAAAAATCATACTACGTATTATTTAGTTTTTACAATAGAAAAACGTATTGTTGCGGACCTGTGTGTAATTAAAGAATAAATTGTGGGTGTATGTGTATGTATGTATTCATATATATTTTTATATATATGTAGTATATACGAATAAGCACTGTTGTATGTATATAAGCACTATTGTTCAAATACATGTTGAAATTTTGAGAAACAAATATAAATTAATTAAAAAAACAGGAAAAAAAATCAAAATAGAAATACACTACAAATTTAAATACTTTTTATGTTTAGTTAAAGTGACATTCTCGTACACGGTATTGATAAACATTAAAGAAGCCGAGGATAGCAAATGGTGTTATCTAATATGTTACTGGGTGGGCAATATGCTCTAAAAAGGTTAAATATTGACTTTTTTGCTCTAAAATTTACCGTAGTGTCTATTGTGCTTCTTGATCTAAACCTTAATGGTCAATATGCACCTTTTCATCAAGTTTAAGAAGTCTTCAGTGATAGGGTCCAGAAAAACCAACCTCAGGATCAGAGTTGAAGTCGAGCTCTGTTTTCCCTTCATCATTCAACCATAAATTGTAGATAATGATCTTTGTGCCATGATCACCAATGTCAACAAACTATCCATTGGAAGACAAGAAATTGCCAGGAAAAACGAATTAATAGTTCTTACAGCTGGAAATGCAGCATCAGAACAACAACAACAAAAGTAATTCTCAGGCATCAGGATATAGTAATGATCCCCATTCCCTTTTTGCGTGAATACAGAAGACCAAAATCATGGGTATCATTAGTTAACAGGTATTGTATTAGATGGATCTGATATGTTCATACAAATTCAATAACATTCTAAGTACACTTGGTATTTTACATGACAAAGGACACAATAGGAAAGGAAAAGTAACAGTACAGAGAACAACACCAAAGGTTAGACATACCTGACAGAGAAGATCCTCCTCTGTTGAATATGGTGACCACTTCAATAACAGAGAAAGATTAGTTGCAAAATATTGTTCAGTGTGTATTGAATTCCATGTGCCATCTGTTGAATTGAACTCATAGTCAATCTGCACCATTAACCAAAAAAGAGAGTTTGGAACAAATCTTAAGACAAGATGAGAATAAAAAAAATGAAGTCAGGCAAAATGAGCACTGGGATCATATCTTAAGGCAAGATGAGAATAAAAAATAATGAAATAAGGCAAATGAGAATTTCGTACATGGATTAGACATTACCCAACTTCAATTTAAGTGCTTGTTTGCTAGGACATTATTTACCTCAAGAGGTCATTCAACAGGCCCAAAAAAATATTTAACGTTCAGACTTCAGATTAGATAAGAGGTAGTTTCCCTCTCTTTTGAGAACTCGTCTTGAAAATTGGTAACCTAATCCTAACTACATATGGCCTTAGTCCAAACATATACTGATATACTACCTCCATCCCGTCTTAAACTTCTCATTGGAAAATGGTAATTAAATAAGGTTATTCGAGTATATTTTGAGAAGTTATTTTGATGGGTATATAATATAATGAGGTCATTGGTGATAATTGTGATGTTATAGGTGTATTATTTTTAATGTGTGATTATTAAGTTGTCATTTAAAAGTGCTAACGGCTCATTATTTCCTGAAGTAGAAATGGGGAGCTCTAGCTAGGACGTCCATAGGAGGCAAGTGAGAGGCTTAAGCTGGGACGGGGAGTTCATTCATGGATTATGTTTAAATATAAGGCCCTTGTATATTTATTAATACAAATCTCAATGCGATTAACTTTTGTCTCGTCACATGCTTATCAGAGCTGGGGTGATGATGATGATGACATGCTTATCAGAGCTGTAACCCTCTCGGAGTTACCAGCGAGTTTGATTTGATTTCCTCCCACATGAATAGTCGATTGTGGCCTTCTTCTCCCGCTTCCTTCTTTCTACCCTGATGCACACCCAGTGGTTGGTTGACTACCATTAAGCTTCAATACCAGCTGTAACCCGTTCTCAAGGCTCCACACACGCACCCCTGGAAGTGTCCCCAATCGCTATGTGGCATTTACAGTCCATGAAGTGTTCCAGTTTTTTCCATTCCAACCTCATTTCTGAGGGTCTGCTTATCCCACTACACCCTCTCCCTGTGGGAACCATATTTGGAAAATTCGGTCACCGCAAACCACCCCACAGGTCATTGTTTACACATGAAGGCACCACACACTCTCTGACCAGACTGAAAACTATTTGCTGCATTCATTAACATTGTACAGTCCAATCCAACCTAGAATTCTATAAACTTGTGAAAAGTGCAAACAAGATATATCGTGGGAACTGGGAAGCCTCTGTATAATGTGGTCCAAAGTCACTGTGTGTATATAGTCTGACTATAAAGGTGAGTGATAAATATCACAGAAAAAAAGTAAAACAGAAATAGGTGTATCATGCTGTTGGGTTTCAAGGGCATCCAACCAAAACTATCACATCTGAGGTCATATTTCAATACCCAACTGTTTCAAGCCACAAAACCTGAAACCCAATTTTATAGCTTACTTCTTTGACTAAAGTGCAGCCCGGTGCACGAAGGCATCCCAGCAAGGTGAGGGTCTGAGGAAGGGTCCCACCACAAGGGTAAGGGGCAAGTCTTCCCCTGTCAAATTTTGACAAAAGGCCGCTTCCAAGACTTGAACCTGTGACCCGGTCACACAGCAACACCTTAAGCTTACTCCTTTGACTGTAATACTGTATCCTACAAAATACATCTACAGCTTATGTCATCTTAACAGTCTGCTTTTTAGCAGATATAAGCGTACTCCTTTGACTGCATCCTACAAAATACATCTACAGCTTATGTGATCTAAACAATCTGCTTTTTAGCAGATATAAGTATTCATCTCTAAACTCAAGTGCCTAGAGTCAATTCTGAACTCAAGTGCCTAGAGTCACATCTCTAACGATTTGTAACTTCTGTCTCTTTCTAGATCTCAGCCTTTGCATATGGAAACCTAGCTAATGGTCTTAAAAGTTAATATTACACTACTAAAATAAGTTGTTCCTTACTTTTACACCATTTGCCTCATTTATTTGCCTCTAAGTGGTCAACCCAGCACTTTTATGTTCCCTTATTTTCTACAGCAAATTATTATCATATTTAAATTGTTTATTTGCATTTTCCAGTCTAATAGTTTATAGTAGTTTAAAATATGTAATTTTTTAAAAGGTACTACTACACTAATTATTACCGAAAATGATTTGTGACTTAGGCTAAGCCTCATAATGCAGAACTATCTTATAATTTGGGACAGTGGGTATTATCTTTACCATTGGGATTAACCTTTATATGTTCATGCTAATCCATTCAATTTTGGACAGTTAGTAAGATTACTACCTGCTAATTTTGTGTGTGTAATTTTTTCTGTTGATCTGGTGGTGTTTCAAGATCACATTATGTGGAAGATACCTGTAACTAATCAAGAGCAGCAAGGCCTCCACTACCTAAGTAAAGGATACTTTATTTAAATGACTTGACAGTTGACATATGTAATATATATTCTCTAAGTTAAGGGGAAAGTAGAAGATATTGGTACCCTTCCCTAAACCTAGTGATGATGGGTTAAGCCCATTTATAATACATCAGGATTAGTGATTATAGTGTTCCAGTGGTCAACTCATGATACAGGTCTTTAACTGGTAGATTCAATCCACCAAAGTTTTCCTATCTACTCCAAGGGGTATTTGCCAAACATCAATAAAACACTTCTCAAAAAGAGTTCTTTCACAACTCACAAGTTCTGAAAACCCATATTCTTGCCTCTTATCTCCTTGAGCCAAACAGGCCAAAGAAGCACTAAGTTGTTCATAGTAGCAATTTTACTTAATCATCTAAGCAATTTTACTTAGAGCAAGGTTCTTTCTTTCACCATTCCTATACATAAAAGGGGTGGGAAGTGGAAAACTAAAATGTACACAGTATCAAGCTCAGAGTATATTCACATATACGTTATACCATCTGTGTCTCTTTAAAAAAACATTGTCCGCGCAAAAAAATGAAGAGTACAAATTGTCTGATTGAGATTTATTAATAAGGAGAGTTGATATCAACCACATATTTCTAAAAGATAAAATGGGTGATAATTTTAGGAAGGAAGAAAAGGGGAGTATGAGGACTAATTAGGGACGGATGCAGTAATGGATAAAACATGCACCAATTCAGAATTCATTCAATTAATTGCATTCACCAATGCAAAATACAAAACTTTAATAGCACTAGACCGATGTGTAGGTTTATATAGCTTATACTAGGAAACTCACCATTGGAACCACTATTCTATCAAGGCCAGATTGTGCCAAAAATGTGTAAGATAAAAGCCCAATGCTTCGTGTCATTTTTCTGATGCAAGTAGATGGAATAAAAATATCAGTGTGTTTGAACAGACATCAAAGATCAAGCATCAGTTATGTAAATAAAGACGGTCTTCTACAATCCCCCACCCCCTCCTACCAAAGAAAGACCCAAATATATAATTATTCAGAGATAGGTTTTGTAGCAAAAACAAATTTGGTAAAATATGAAATGAATAATATTCTAAAGCATTAAGCTTTAATAGCAAATGAATTAAAACTCACTGAACAGAAAATATAATTAAAAACTAATGTTAAAGATTTAAAATTTTGAAAATTTCATGCTTCCTGAAACCCATGAATTCATACTTTTTTACATCATAGAGAAGAAAAAACACATGATTGAGAAGAGGTGAGCATGAATAGCACTAGTTTCCCATTTCTTTACTTTCTATATGTTGATATATATCTGGTCTTAAATTTGTTAGATTCTGAGAGTTCAAAATTGGTAAATAAACTATCCTGCTTACATAAGGTCATATAGTTATATGTACTCGTCAATTATTTGCTGCAATTTAGGAAAGGAAACTGATACTGGAAAAGCATACTAGTGCCTCAGATAGACCAGAAAGATTTCACTACTAAAGACCATAGCTTAGCTAAACACAAAATTATATATGTTGATCCAGTACATCAAGATTATATGACAAAAAAGGGAAAGTTCCTGAAATAGGACCAAAACAGTTTGAAAATTCCAAAATAGGACTGTCATGTTTTTTATTCCCAAAATAGGACTAATTACTGCCATGTTTGAAGTCTGGTACTGCCAAAACATGGCAGTAATTAGTCCTATTTTGGGAATAAAAACATGGCAGTCCTATTTTGGAATTTTCAAACTGTTTTGGTCCTATTTCGAGTAATATCTCGACAAAAAACAATGGTGATCACTGGGAAAGTTGTCCCATTATAAGAATATTAAAAACAAAACTTTACCAGATACCCCAGAAAGGCATATATGAGCATGTGATATACAGCTAACTGAAACTAATGAGTGTAAAATAAACACCTCATTATAAGTATGATTGCTGAACCGAAGACAGCTTTTATGGCTTTAAATGATAAACACCCAATTATTCCAGCGGATGCAGACCAGACCAAGGAAATATGATGATAAAGATAAGTGTCTCAAACCTTTTCCTTGAGCGGCTGAAGACAATAACATCTGCTCCAAGTCTCATGGAACTCGTCTTAAAACCATTTCCATCTAAAAGATGGAAAGTTAGCATTTTAAATGTGATTGAAAAAGAATAGATAATGCCATGTGACAGGATGCATACACTGTCCGATTGCTGACTTTGACTTCTTATCTGAAAATCCGAAACTCATACAATGACGCATTGCTTCAGGGTCCATTCCACCCCCATCATCTATGTCCAGTTTAGCAAGGCATACGATTTCAGAACTAGAATTGCATCAAAACCAGAATACAAGTAAATTTAATTGTAGAATACCTTGAATTAACAAAGCAGATCTTCCATCCCTTGGATTTACTATTTTATCTACTACAACAAAGGTGCCCCCATTTTGTATCTACTCAAAAGATATCAAACATGGGAGCAAAATGTTATTAAAAAAAGTTACTCAAAGCATTGATAAATTAAATCAAACAAAGATCTCTTTTCCAGGTTTGAGTATAGAAGACTCTTTGGACCAAAAGAAGTCTAAGTAACAGCTTTCACATCTTATAGTGACAAAGCCCCCCCCCCCCCCCTCCTCCCCGGTTCCTAGGTATCTGCTGCAACAGAGATTCATTATGTTGCGAATCATGTAAAATAAAATGGCTATAAAACTGGTGCAAGAAGTATGAATTTCAAGAAGCTGTTCATTTTATGTTTACTGGGTTAAAAACTTACAATAAGTACAGGAATATAGTAACTTGGCTATTTTTTATGAGGGGTAAAAGAACATGTACAAAAAAAAGACTGAGTTGATAAAAGTAGTGCAAAGCTATCGGCCAACATTAAAAGGTGCATTTCTTTTTTAAGACAGTCATTACTTGTCAGATGAAAAATAAATAAATAAATAAATAAATAAATAAATAAATAAATAAATAAATCAATAAATAAATAAATAGTCATTTTAAAGGAGTTACTAAACCTGCCTACTGGGAAAACCGGAAAAGTGGGCAAAAACGCAATTTAACCATGTTAAATATTTTAATTGAGACAATGAGGAAGCTCCTATAGCATAGTTTTTATGCTTCAGAGTTGAGACAAGGCAATTATTATACTATACCATCATCACAGCCTAATTGTCTTTGATGGGTGATGGATTACATGAAATTTACGGTGTAATGAATTATTTAAGATTGGGTTACTCTATAACTTATTCAATTTATACCGGATGTTCTTCATGTCCCAACATTCTTATGAAGCAAATCATGAGATGAAAAGCACAAAACCATCATCATCATTAATGAAGAACATCTGCTGTAAAACCAACTACTGTATCACAGATTGCATCGGATTTCTTTGTGATTGAATTATGATGACTAGACTGAAGAGTAAATTTTGGGGCTTTTTCCTTGAATATTACTAATTTAGAGCCAATTTCCCAAAAAGTGACCACTTTTATAAAGGCCAAAAATGTGACCAAGGTCATATATTTGGAAAAATATAGTCTGCCAGATTTATGTCACTATTAAATTTTTATGTCACTGAGCCTATGTCACTTTTGAATGTCAGTACCGGTTTTCATGTCACTTTTAAATGTCACTGACTCACTGCCGGTTTTCATGTCAATTTTATATGTCACTTCCACCGTCAAACGTGTCACTGTGCCATTAACCATGTCACTATGCCGCTGCCGGCTACTTTTTCCAACATCTACCGCCACCATTCCATCCGCTGCAATGCCATTTACCGCCACAATCCCACCCGCTGCAGTGCCATCTACCGCCAACATCCACCCGTTGCCATCTACCCCTGCCCCTCCTCATCGCCCCAGCACCCTGCCCCTGCCCCTGTCCCACCCCTGACCTGCCCCCAGCAACCCTCCCCAGCTCCTGCTCGGACGCACTCCCCGCCCTACCCTCTTCCCCGGCCGTCACACCCTTCCCCATCCCCTCCGCCAGTCACCTCCAACCACTTCCCCAACCCTAGCCCAAATCAAGCTCAAATCTGTCCCCCACCCCTGGCCCAATAGATCTCTGACAACCACCGCCCCAACCCCGGCCGCCAGCGGCAGCCAGTGACCACCTCTTCTCCCACCACTGCCCCACCAGCCATTACGATCCGCCCCCAGCACCGCCTAGCAGCGCATCCTTACCCCAACAACCACCACCCTCCTCGCCCCAGCCCCTTATCCCATCTGAAACTCACCTTATCCCCAACAGCCAGCACTCCGCCCCCATGTCAGGACAATTAGCTATCACAGATCTGAAATCGATTACAGATCTGAAGCTAATGAACAGAGACGGTGAAGAGAAGCAGTGAAGAAGAAGACAAAGCTGGCGTCGCCGTCGCAGAAGGTCGCCGTCGCTGACCGTCGCCGTCGTACCGGTGGTCTCCGTCTTCTTTGATGGCGTCGCACCGGTGGTCTCCGTCAGCTTCGATGGCGTCACGTTGGTGGACTCATGGTCGATGATGAAGGTGAGAAGCAGGGATGACCTGATGCGAGAAGCTTGTTGATAGCCTCCATGGATGTCCTGGTGCGAGGAAGTGACGAGTGAAGAAGAGCTGGAGAAGACATCTCGATTGAAGCCCGGTCACTTTTATGTAAAACAAAATTTCATTAAAGATGAGAAGTAATATGTGTGCCATTATTTCTAAATTTTATAGGACACCAATTAGGCCTGCATTAATGTATATTTGCATGGCGTATAAGATGAATGTGGTGGAGAGATGTGCATGTTTTGCTAGATGTGTGGACATACTAGAAAAGACCACTTGAGGAATGAAACATTCAGCCAAAAAATGGGAGTAAAACTCATTGAAGATAAGAAGAGAGAGTCTCAAATGTGGTGGTTTGGCTATGTTTGTACAAGATCGAGTGATGTACCTGTGAGACAAATGGGGAGGTGGGGAGAGGAGGCAGAGAGAAGATGAGAGGGCCAACCTAGACAGGTGTGAATTAGAAAGGTGAAGAATGATATGGTACTTCTTGGATTAGGTGAGAGTACTTTGGAGAGAGCGAATTAGAGGGAGAGTGTACATGTGGAGGATTGATCTGATTTTATTTGCCTCCCTTTCTTTCAATTTAATATTATTATTACTATTTATTATTTTTCACTCCTATATCATATGTCGATTCATGTTAGCCGACCCCAAACTCTTTTGGGAGTAAGGCTTAGATGTTGGGGTTGAATCGTATACCAAAGTTCCTTGTTAATGATAGGGCCTAGGCTGTAGAGATTAATAGTAGTAGTTATAGATTGATATTAAATAAGTATGGTATTGTATAAATAAGAATTCTGGGTTGTTGAAATATAAACTAGAATAACATTGAAGATGAAGAGAAGGATTTTCTGTGTATTTCATTAGAGGGTTAAGGCCCTATATATATATTACAAAGATGGAATATTCCTATATAAGATGCTATACAATAATAATGTCTAGAGTATATTCCTAAAGCATATTCTAGAGCATATTCCTAAAGCATATTCCTAGATACAATAATACTTTCACACTCCCCCTCAAGTTGGAGCATAGATATTTATCATGCCCAACTTGTTACATAAGTAATCAACTCGAATCCCATTTAGAGCTTTAGTGAATAAATCTCCAAGTTGTTCCCCAGCCTTCACATACCCTGTAGAGATTAATCCTTTTTGTATCTTCTCTCGAATAAAATGGCAATCAACCTCAATATGCTTTGTTCTCTCGTGAAATACGGGGTTGTTTGCTATGTGTATAGCAGCTTGGTTATCGCACCACAACTGAGCAGACATTGGTGTCTTCAATCCAATTTCATTCAATAAATGGTGTATCCATATTATCTCACATGCGGATTGTGCCATAGCTCGATATTCTGATTCAGCACTAGAACGAGAAATCACATTCTGTTTCTTACTCTTCCAGGATACAAGATTACCACCAACAAAGACACAATAGCCAGATGTAGATCTTCGATCATCTTTAGAACCGGCCCAATCAGCATCTGCAAAGCATTCTATTCTCATGTGATCATGGTTTTGATAAACAATACCTCGTCCTGGTGCTCCCTTTAAGTAACATAATATGTGTTCTACAGCAGCCCAATGATCAATGGTCGGAGATGACATGTATTGACTCACTACACTCACAGAATAAGCAATATCTAGACGGGTGACTGCGAGATAATTAAGCTTTCCAACCAGTCTTCTATATCTTTCTGGGTCTTCAAACGGTGTGCCTTCTTGAGTGAGTTGCACGTTGGGAACCATGGGTGTTGTACTTGGTTTTGCCCCTAATTTCCCTGTCTCAGCTAGTAAGTCAAGTACATATTTACGTTGAGATAGAAATATGCCTTTCTTACTTCGTGTTACCTCAATTCCCAGAAAGTATTTCAAAGAGCCAAGATCTTTCGTCTGGAATTGACTATGCAGAAAATTCTTAAGGGCCAAAATACCTGCATTATCACTCCCTGTAATCACAATATCATCAACATATACCACAAGCAATGTGACACCTGATTCTGTTTGTTTGTAAAATACAGAGTGGTCTGATTTGCCTTTTATCATTCCAAATTGTTCAATTGATTGACTGAATTTCCCAAACCATGCACGAGGACTCTGTTTCAGACCATAAAGAGATTTGCGAAGTCGACAAACTTTACCATACTCCCCCTGAGCAACAAATCCCGGAGGTTGCTCAATATAGACTTCTTCCTTAAGGTCACCATGCAAAAATGCATTTTTAATGTCCAATTGATGTAAGTGCCAATCATGAATTGCAGCGAGTGAGATAAGTAACCTGACAGATGTTAATTTAGCAACAGGAGAAAAAGTGTCAGAATAATCAACACCATAGGTTTGAGCATAACCCTTCGCAACTAATCGGGCTTTCAACCGAGCAACGGATCCGTCTGGGTTAACCTTAACAGCAAAGACCCACTTACATCCAATATATTTCTTCCCTGTAGGTAAGTCAACCAAATCTCATGTACCATTAAGATCTAAAGCATTCATTTCCTCTACCATGGCTTGACGCCATTCAGGATGAGACAGAGCTTCTTTGACAGATTTGGGAACAGAAATAGAATCAATGGAAGCAATAAAAGAACATGAAGCAGGAGATAACTGATTGTACGACACAAATGAAGAAATAGGATGAGTACAAGACCGTGTACCTTTACGTACTGCTATTGGGAGATCAAGATCTGATGTGGAAACAAGATCTGAAGATGCAGATACTGGTTCAGGACATGAGATCGGAGTCGAACTAGTATCAAGAAAAGTAATCACAGGTATCGCCGGTGGAGGGTGATCAGGTGCTTTGTGTCGACGGGTGTATACCAAATGTACGGGAGGCCTAGGGTCATGAACAGTAACTTGTGGAATATTTGTCGAAAGTGTGGACTCGGGAATAGTCATCGTGTAAATGAGAATATCA